CCAAGTATACCCTTTTTCCCTTCCTTCCCATGTTTCTACCCTCTCTGTGGGACAGGAGACCTGAGAAGGGACCGCGGGGGGGGGGGGGTAAACAGGGCACCCCTGAGAAATCACAGGTCTCCAGAATGTCATCTCTTTAATGTCCAACTCACAAGGGGCCCTGCAGATGAGGGAATAAATACAGGTTGTAAGATGCAGCGCACCCAGCCCCCAGCCTAGGGAAGAGGGGGAGACCTGTGAGCCTCCGTTTCCCTCGTCTGCAAACCGTAACAGAACACACTTCGAGTCATGAGGCTCTTAACACCGTTTTCCAGGGTCTCTTCCCCACCAAGGGCGGCCTCTGAGCTACCCAAACCTCAAACTGGGAGATACCACCTCCTGTCCACTAAGGGGCGCCAGAGTCCGGTTCCTGGGCCTGCGGGACCCCTGCCCGATCCCTGAGCGGGTGTACCACCCCCGGGGGTCCCGGACTTCTTCCCAGGAGGGGACAGACCCGGAGCGGGGGTCCTGAGTCTTCCGTCCTCTGCTCTCTTCATCGTTCCCTCCACCCCGGGGACCCCAGGTGGCCATGGTGCTCCTTTTTCGAGGAGTCAAGAGTGGGGACCCCAGGAGCTGTCCTAGCAAAGGGCAGAGGAGCGGCGGCGACTGGCTTTCCGCAACTCACTCGTGGCCCCCCCGCCACGTGGGCCTGGAGCGACCGGGGCGGCATCGGGGCTCCCGGAGCGCCGCCCCGCCCCGCCCGCAGGTCCGGAGGGCCGCTCGCTGGTCCGAGCCGGGGAGGCGGGGCTTGGGTCACAGCAGGTTGATCTCGTCGAGGTAGCGGGCCAGGACCGAGTCCCGCACGTCCTTGAAGACCGTGCGGATGTTCTGCGTGTCCGTGGCGCACGTGTAGTGGCTGAAGAGGCGCCGGGAGCGCGAGCCCTTCCTGCCCCCGTCGGCGGCGTCCGCGCAGCCGGCGTACATGCCGCTGTACATGTCCAGGATGAACTGCTTGGCTGCCTCCGCGTCCTGCTTCGGGCCTGGGGGGCAGGAGTGAGGGCGTCAGGACACAGGCTCCTGGGGCAGGGGGGGACCCCCTACTGAGACCAAGGGGGGTCTCCGGAAACTCTCTTCCCGATATGGGCAACTCAGGGCTGCAGGGGACCCCCCCCCCAGCACCCACTACAGTTCCAACAGGTGGACGCCAGCTTTTGACTGTCTAGCTCTAGCAGGTCACGTGACTCCAGCCCAGCCATTGGCAACATCGGGCTGGCGGGGTCACATGACCTGGGATGGACCAATGAGGCTCAGCTCTGGGACTCTGAGCAGAACTTGTGTTGAAGAGATGCTCTTGGCTGGGCTTGGAGCTGGAGGGATGGGAACCGGAGCTGCAGAGACAGAGGCTGGTGCACACGGGGAAACCGAGGCCAGGGGAAGGGGAGGGATGGCCACCCTGGTGAGGCACATGGGCTGCTGCATTGAAAGCACAACGTGAGTTCAGGGCCCAAAGCCTGGCTCTGCTACCTACTAGTTTGCGTGCATGTTAATAAATGTGACCTCTGTGAGCCTCCGTTTCCTGGTTTGTAAAATTGGGGTGAAGACTAGCCCCAGGCCTCCCAAGTTGTGAGGATTCAAAGCAATCGTGCCCAGGGCTCCGTGCTCAGTAATCAGAAAGCTTCGGGAGTGTGCGCTGTCATTCTCTCAGAAAGGCGGGTTGCATAGTGGGTAAAACCAGCCATCTCTGACTCCAGACGGCCTGGATTGGAAGCCTGCCTCTGTCACTCACTGGCTGTATGACTTCTGGCAAGTGACTGTACCTCAGTTTCCCCATGAAGGAGTCCTACTGCACAGGACTTTATAAAAAATATATATTTTTATTGATTTCAGAGAGGAAGGGAGAGGGAGAGATAGAAACATTGATGAGAGAGAATCATTGATCGGCTGCCTCCTGCATGCCTCCTACTGGGGACCGAGCCTGCAACCTGGGCATGTGCCCTTGACCAGAATGGAACCTGGGACCATTCAGTCTGCAGGCAGACGCTCTACCCACTGGGCCAAACCAGCTAGGGCTGCACAGGGCTTTTTAATGAGGATTAAACAAGTAAAAAATACATAAGAGTGCTAGTGTTAGATGTGTTCATTGTTATTGTTCATATTGTTCATTATTGTCACGAGTATTATTTAGTAGCAGGAAAGAAGGGCCGAGAGCTGTAAGCTTAGTATGTGGGTGCTGCAGCCTCTTTGGCTGGGAGAAAAGGACGGAGTTTCCCTTTGACCTTGAGGAAAGCAAACAATCCTCAAAATTATCTGCTTCTCAAACTCTCCAAGTGCTGCCCAGCTGGGAAGGGTGACGAGGGGTGCCCAGGCCACCACCCTGGAATAAGCTGACATCTGTTCCCAGACTCTGAGTCTCGCGGGTATGACCGGCTGAGATTGGCCACATGGGCTCTGACAAGGCCAGGGGCTCCCACCCACGGTGATGTCACCAAAGCTTAGTACATGCAAACTAAGGGCTTCATCTGCCATGGCTGGTTGTGTATCGGGGTGAATAGTGTCCCCTCAAAGCCAAGTCCATTGCGAACTTCAGAATGTGATTGGATGTGGAAATAAGGTCTTTGCAGCTGTAAAGAGTGAAGTTGAAATGAGGTCATACTGAACTAGGTTAGACCCCAGATTCAATGACTTGTGTTCTTATAAAAAGAGGAGAGAGCCCTAGATGGTTTGGCTCAGTGGATAGAGCGTCAGCCTGTGGACCGAAGGGTCCTGGGTTTGATTCTGGTCAAGGGCACGTACCTCGGTTGCAGGCTGCTCCCTGGCTCTGGCCCTGGCCCAGGCCCTGGTCAGGGCTTGTGCAGGAGGCAACCAATCTATATGTTTCACATCGATGTTTCTCTCTGTCTTTCCCTCTCTCTTCCACTCTCTATAAAAATCAATGGAAACATGTCCTCGGGTGAGGATTGAAAAATAAAAAAATAAAAAAAGAGGAGAGACAACCAGGGACAGAGAAGGCCATGTGACAATGGAGGAAGAGATTGGAATGATGCATTATAAGTCAAGAAATGCTGCCCTGCCCTAACTGGTTTGGCTCAGTGGATAGAGCATCGGCCTGCAGACTGAAGGGTCCCAGGTTTGATTCCGGTCAAGGACATGTACCTTGTTGCAGGCACATCCCCAGTAGGGGGTGTGCAGGAGGCAGCTGATCGATGTTTCTCTCTCATCGATGTTTCTAACTCTCTATCCCTCTCCCTTCCTCTCTGTAAAAAATCAATAAAATATATTAAAAAGAAAAGAAATGCTAAGACTGCAGGCAATGATCAGAAACTAGGAGAGAGGCCTAGAACAGATTCTCCCTCCGAGCCTTCTGAAGGAACTGACCCTGCTCTGCCACTCACTTGGTTTCACACTTCCAGCTTCCTGGGTTGTGAGGGAATAAATGTCTGTTGTTTTCAGCCCCCCAGTCTGTGGCCATTTGTCACAGCAGCCCCAGGAAACAAAGATAGCTTGTCTCCAGGATGGCTGTCATTGCTTTCTTCCCTCCCTGTAGTCACATGCCATTTGGCCATCGTAATGTAGACGGTGCCTCCGTTAGAGTCTGGGCTGACCTGAGTGATTTTATTGGCCAATAGAATAAGGCGGATGTAACCACCTGGGACTTCCTAGGCTACGTCATGAGCAGAAGCTTCCACCTGGGCTGAAGTCTGACCATCCTGAGGCAGCCATGCTGTGAGCTAGCCCTGGAGTAGAAGACACCAGATAGGGGGAGGGGGAGGGAGAGAGAGAGATAGAGAATGAGAGGAAAGAGAGAGGAAAAGGAGGAAGGGGAGGGGGAGGAAGAGGAGGAGGAAGGAAGAGGTGGAGGATCACAGAGTCACCATACACATGGTGCGAGGAGCCATCTCAGACGTGCATCTCCAATCCCACCCACCCCAGCTGGTGCCACATGGACCACAGGTGAACAACCGCCTCGACCTTCCCCAAGTTCCTGACCCCCCTCAATCGTGAGCAAAGTGAAATGGCTGGTTTAAGCCCCCAACTTTGGGGGGCATTTGCTACTCAGCTGGGACACTTCTAGCAGCTCCCTTTACCCTCACAGTGGCCCAATATCCAGCTAACACACCCTTCCCTGGTTTCACCAAAACCTTACGTCTCTACCTGGTGCCCAACACTCACTGCACTCGGCTCTAGTTGGCCGGGGCCCTTTGTGCCTCGGGTTGCACCAAAGGTTTGTTCCCAAACCTGTTGTATTCCTCCTGCTTGATATGCACTTAATGAGACACTACACACATCTATTAGCTACAAGCCCCGCATGAAAGAGGGTTGTCGTAGCTGTGAAAACTGAGCTGTGTGCTTTGGACAAACTTGCGCAGAGGTCAGTCACAGATTTAAAAATAAAAATGCTATCCGATTAGGTATAGCTGAGACGACTATGAAAGTTAGAAAAAGAAAGGGTCAAAAATCTAAGAAGAATCTGGAAATAGTTGTTGATGCCTTTTGGGTGTGCTTTATGACAATGGACTCTATCCAGCAGACCCACCCTCACAACATCTATAATATATGACTTTTGAGAATTCTCTTCTTTAAGCAATTACATCAAGTGTGAAGGCATCTGTTACTTTATCCCCATTCTACAGATGGGAAAACTGAGAACAGAGAGAGGTTGGGCAGTGAAAGCATCTGGGTCTGGAACTCAGGTTTGTCCAATCGTATTTGAAACTCCACTGACTCCAGGCTGGAGTAGGGCCTGGACGAGCATCTCCCTTGGGAGCTGCTTTTTTTTTGGCGGGGGGGAGGAAGGGGAGGGAGAGGTAGGGTATAGAAGGTTCTAGAACTCACCCTGGAAGCTGGGGAAGTAGGTAGCCAGGTGGGAGGTGGGGATCTTCTCCTCCAGTATGTCGGTTTTGTTGAGGAAGAGGATGACAGATGTGCTTTTGAACCAGGGCAGTTCCAGGATTGTGCCAAACAGGGCCAGACTCTCCTTCATTCTGTTCTGGGTTGGGGGACACAGGCGGTTCATTACTCAGAACGGCCAGCTCGGCCCAGACAGGAGCCCTCCCTCTACGTGGAGATGGGTCTGAGCAGGTGTGGCCGGCTGCCTATGTGCGCCCAACATGGTTTTGTGCCTCAGCTGGTTTGACTAGTGTCCCCCCTACCCCCCCAATTCATGTCCCCCTGGAACTTCAGCCTGTGACCTTATTTGGAAGCAGGGCCTGGAATTCACGAAGAGGTCATACTGGAATTGGGTGGCGTTAAGTCTAATGATTGATGCCCCCCAAAAAGGGGGAATTTGGACCCAGCCTCACATACAAGGAGGATGCCATGTGGCGACGGAGGCAGAGGTGGGTTGATGCATCTGCAAGCCAAGGAGCACCAAGGACTCCAGAGTCACCAGCAGCTGGGAGAGCCTGGGACAGAGTCTCCCACGGCCTCCGGGGACCAGCCCTGCGACACCTTGACCTCAGCCTCTGCCTCCAGAACCCGGAGAGAATACTTTTCTGTTGTCTCAGCCTCCCGGTTTGTGGTCATTGGTTACGGCCGCCCCAGCAAACTAGGGCAGGTCAGGTGGCGAGAGCTATGTCAGCGTGACCTCAGGCTGGTTCTGTCTGATTCAACCTGAAAGTCACAATGATAGCGTCTCCCTCTCGAATGCCCAAACGGCCTCTGTGACACTGAGCCACCGAAAGTGCACATGTCAGGTAACAGTGTGCCCGCCATCGTGCTGGGTGTAATTAGGAGGAGAGGTCACACAGGAAGACTGATCCTCACCAGCATTTCTGGATAGAAGTGTGACATAGTCCCTGCAGTGTGACGCTATTTCCAGGACAGTTTGTGTGTGCTCCGGGGGGGGGGGTTGTTTTTTTTTTTTTTTTTTTATTTTGTAATTGAACTTTTTTGTTGTG